AATGCACAAAAATGTAGAGCAGAAGCTTGAGTGAGTGACTCAGGATGTGCCATTTCCCTGCGCACTGGCCAGCTTCGGCCAAGGTTTCAGGACCTATCCTTTCCCCTAAGAAAGTACAGCTTCCACCTCAGTGGGGACACTTAAAAAGCCCACCTTGAACAGGGCAGTCTCCCACATGTCCCTCTCCCAAATGGTCTGCTCAGGTGCATTCAGAGGTGCTGTCCTGTTTGAATATTTTCCCCTTCTCTCTTTCTCTCTCTTCCCTGGCCAGCCTCAGCCCCTCAGCCTTTTCTTCCCTCCAGATCTTTCTTCCTTTGCCATTATCTCTGCTCCCCCAGCCTGTCTGGAATGGGAGGGAGAGGGTTAAGATGTTCTACAAATGCAGCTCGTAAAGCTGCTTGGATACATTAGAAACACATGAATATCCTGAAATACAAAGTGTCTTTAAAACCAACCTAGGAATGTTTATCCTAAGGCTGGATGGATGCAGAGAAATAGTGCCAGGGAGCAGTGCTGACAGCCTCCTCTGAGTTAAAGTGAGAGCAGGTAAATTTCATTTGCTAATGAAAATCAAACTCAATTAAAACCTAGTTTCCCTTTGTCCTTTTCTCTTCCAACCCTGGGAGCCCAGGGATCCTGGGCCCCAGGGCCCAGGCTGGCATTGAGACATCGAGTACCCTGCCCAGAAAAACCCAGCCAAGATCTCTTTCCACAGTGGGAGGCTTCAGGGCAGCCAAGGCTGTGCGAGGCACTGTAGCCCACCCCAAGAGGTAGTAAGCCTTGTTGGCCAAGATGTTTTGGAGCAAGAGAAAGGCTCTGGCAACTCTTTGAACAAAGGCCATGCTGTGGCCGCTGCCCTCCATTCCTGCCTGTGCTGCCCTCTCAGGGCTCCTCCAGGGAAATCTTGGTGCACTAGGCAGAGCTTGAGAAGTTACTGCAGGCTCTCCCATCTTCCCCCTTGCAGCCCCTCTGCTTGGCTCTCTTGTTTGAGGGGCCATTGCTGCCGGCAGATCCCAGTTGGGCACCCTGGCCTTCCCAGCCTAAACCACAAGGAGTCTGAGGATAAAATTGTCAAGTTGAAAGAATTGACTTCAATCCTATAGGAATTCATGAGCCTGAAAGTCAAAAAAGCAGAGGGACAGATGGTTCAGAAGGTCAGGCCCCTCTAGCTGGGCAAGCAAGTGAATCTTGACCTTGCCATTGGGAAAAGAGGAAAAATGCTAGGAGGGTCTGTGCTTGCTTCCCAGAGCACACTTCAGTCTTCATTGTCCTCCGAACTTTCTTTTTCCACAGCAAGCCAGTTTGGTAGCTGCCTGGCAGAGTAAGAAACCTTGTTGGGAACAATTAATGAATCTCTTATCTCCCTCGGCAAAGACAGGGAGGGAGGATTATTCTTGCTTCAGATGAGTAGAAATTCTAGAAACTCGGACCCAAAATTATTCACGGAGCTCATTCTAGTTCTATAAACCATCCCCACTGATTAGTGGCTACAACTCAATATCTAACAGGATATGCAGACATTTAAAAACAGTGGAGGCATATCAGGACGCCATTGACATGCCTAGTAGAAAAACCACAGCATGTGTTTATCCAGATCCAAGACAAGAAGGGAACAAGCAGCTACTTTCTTCTAAGTAACAATGTCTCGAGTTTTTTTGTTTGCTTGTTTGTTTGTTTTTTTAAAGGATAGGGAGACATGGGGTACTAAGAAAATATCCAAATAACTTAATCACTAAAGGTACACCATAAATCTCAATAATTCCGGGCACCAAGCCCTTCCTTGGCAGGGGCTCCACGTTTAAGGAGCAAAGCCTAAATTCGAGATGCAACCCAAAGCCTTCCCTCAGCACCATCCCTCCCAAACAAACCTGCTTGTGTCTCCTCAGCGGACAAGATGAAATCTCACCTCACCATTTTTGGTGAAGAGGGACCCAGTCGACTTTGGCAGTCTGTGGAGCTGAGGCCTTTCCTCTGTGCGCAGGGCTCCGGGCTCCGGTAAAGTGGGAGGGGGAGGAAAGAATGTGGAGCTGCCCTTGGCCGCGGCGTGCACCGGCAGCTGCGCCATGGCCAGAGGTGAGCTGGCACAGGCGCCGGCTGGTGGGGACTCCCCGGGCTGTGTTTTCGTTTTTCGTTTTTCTGGCTGGAAAATAGAAGAGGCTCAAAGCCCCGGCCAAGAGCAGGGCGGAGGCAGAGAAGAAGAGTCGGTAAACACCGCCCCAAAAACTCCACGAAGGCAGCAAAAAATGCTGGGTAACCAAACAGAGCCAGAAATGATAATTCCAAAGGAAAAGGGAATTAAGAGTGAGGGGAGGTGGGCAGTGGGCCCTTCCCCGCTGCCTGGGTCTCTAGGCTTGCATGGCAGTTCTCACGCTGGCTAGACTGTAACTTTCAACTTGACCTTGGCCTCTAGCCATGTCTGACCCATATGTAAAACCAGCCTCAAGTCCCCAGGAACTGGGGCCTCGAACCCCACTGTCTCTTTGTCACTGTGTTTTACAATGCCACTTCGAGGAAGGGGGGGGTGGTAAAAGGGCTGGAAAGTCACACAAAAATCAAGTCCCTACAGAGGCTGTTTCCTTAGTCTGCAAATGGCCAGTCAGGGAGAAGGTAAACTGGGGGCAAATCAATATTTACCCACAACTGCTAAAAAGTCAAGAGAGAAAGGGCACACTGGGTGTATATTGGGGGGAGGGGCTGGTGGGTCATAGACGGTTTTATTGGGCTACACTTACATTGGTCAGGGTAAACTTGGGATCAGAGCAGATAAAAGCCGGAGTCCAGCCACATTGGTCTCGACCCTGCAGGAAACCCAGGTGCCTTAGTGAAAATGGGGGAAGGGGTTGTCAGCGTGGGGTGTGGGGAATGTACAGTGCTCTGAGCTTAGGGCTCAGTCTGCAAGCTAGGACCAGAAGGCAGGTCCAAGCCTGGCTGCTCACCAGTCCGCCTGGAGTGGAAGGAGACCAGCACTCTCCTCAGCTCTGATGTTCCCGGAATGTGCCCACTTTCACTTTGAGCGCTTGTTCCCCTTCTGGGCATCTGACCAGCACACAGACTCGAAATCAGAAATGGAAGTATATGGCCCCAAAGCGACAGGAACCCCAGAATCCCTCACCAAAACATGGCAGCTGCAAGAGGAGTCACTGCTTGGCTCTTCCAGTACCAACACCCCACCGTGCTCCCAGGAAAGGGTTGTGTTTCTCAGGCACAGAGGAAAGGCTTCTCAGGCTGGTTCTTAGGCAAGGAGAACAGGGCACTCTCTGCAGACTAGAGATCCTACTTGGTGGAAAGGTATGAAGTGGCCCCAAAGAGCCCCTTTGTCCTGTTCCCAAACAGTGGGAAAGAGTGGGTCCTAGGTGCCTGGAGAGTCAAGTCCGACCCACATTCTATGAAGCCAGCGGCCCAGCTGGGGCCTGTTCCTCTTAAGCTCCTTCCAGGACGAGTCCAGCCAGCCGGACTGGCTATGTGGAGCATGGGTGATAGATGCACACCGATCGCTCTCTCTACTCAGTCTCTGGAGGACGAAGAATTGTTACTGGGCCAGAGCGGGGAAGAGGCTGTATAATAAGTGTGCATCCGTGTACACTCAAGTGTATGTGTGTCATTTTGGTGTGTGATGAGTCGTTCTGAGTGTATGGGACTAAATGTAAGAGTGGACATTAACACTGTGGACAGAGAAGGGAAGGGGACTCCTAAGCGCAATTCAAGCTTTCTAGTGGAATGTCCTGGAACCCATAAGCCAGATGTATCTGTCCTCAGGAGTCGACAAGTAGCAAATGCCCTGCCACTGTTCCCCTGGAAAGAGAGCCAAATCGTGACGCTGTCGAAGCCGCAAGCGCTGATGTCCGTCCTAGAGTGTCGCTGCAGAAAGACGCGAGGATACCTGGAAAGAAAACAGCCCCAGAAGCCCCGAAAAACACCCAGTCTGACCTAGGCTGGTCACGTCCTCTCCACTCTCCCATCCATGGCCGCCAAGAGATTTACCTAACCTGTCCCAACCGCCTTAGTTCGCAGCCCAAACGCGAGCCCACGTACGTCGCCTTCCCTCCTGGTTGCGCTGCTCTGGGCCCCACTGGAATAGAGGAAGGAAACGGGGGCTGCGAGGGGGCCGCCCTTCCCTCCTTGCCCCACCCGCCCGTGTCCCCCGCCTCTGCCCAGGGTGAATGGTGCGCGGCAGCGCGGCCCGCGCTGGCTCTGGCTCTGGGGACGGCGCGGGCGGCGGCGGG